ACTTGAAGCACTTACTGATGAAAATCAAAGACTACAGTCTTTAGTGTGGATTCATGTCAATATAAAGAAAATAAAAATTGGTCCACAACTGGACCAATAAGCAACATTATGATAAATGGAGAACAATGTAAGTTGTCAGGGATTTCATTTTACTTTGATCCACAATCAACACCCATGGAAGCAGCAGTCAAGAAATCAGACATTGTATTGTACCGGGCAAATGTGCTGCAAAAGACCTCTTTACAGTGTTAAGAAGCAAAGATTTTGAAGACTAAGGTGTGTGTAACCCAAGCCATGGTATTTTCAATCACCTCATATGCTTGTGAACAGTGAATAAGGAAGACTGAAAAAGAGTTGATGCCTTTGTATTGTGGTGTTGGCAAAGAACAATGAAAGTACCATGGACTGCCAGAAGAATGAATAAATCTGTCCTAGAAGAAGTGCAGTCAAATGCTCCTTAGAAGTGAGAATGGCCAGACTTCGTTTCATATACTTTGCTCATGTTGTCAGAAGGGAATGATCCCTGAAGGATACCATGCTTGGTAAAGTAAAGCGAAAAAGGGAAAGCCCCTCAATGAGATGGACTGACACAGTGGCTGCAGCAATGGCCTTAAGCATAGCAAGGTCTGTGAGGATGGTGCAGAACTGGGCAGTGTTTTGGTCTGTTGTCCATACAGTTATTATGAGTCGCACCCAACTTGATTTCACCTAACAACAGTAATAACAATTCAATCCATAACATATAGGTTGCATTTTTATCTTTTTGTCAGCTATAGAGATGTTTTTAAAAGTACAAACGGTGCCTTCTGAACATAGCTTTCTCCCCCTTCTCCCAGTCAGAATTGGGGAGTGGGACTTCTTCCTACTTAAGCATCCCACCTACCACCATGTAGTCCATTCTAACTCATAGTGACCCCCTTTGGGTTTCCAAGACTGTAAATCTTTATGGAAATAGATTGCCTCATCTTCCCACAGTGCAGCTGTTGAGTTTGAACTGCTGACCTTCTCATTAGCAACCAAATGCTTTACCCACGAGGCCACCAGAGCTCCTTTTAAGCTTCCCAGGTGATTGCAAAGCCAAGACAGATTGGGGAACTCCTGTCTGAAATAGTCATAAAAATCCAAGAAATGCTACCTGGCCCATCCAGAATTTCCCATGCACTAGTGGATAAAGCATTTGGCTGCTATTCAGAAGGTCAGTGGTTCAAACCCACCAGCCTCTCTGCAGAAGGAAGACTGGGCAATCTACTTCCGTAAAGATTTACTGCCTTGGAAACCCAAAGGGGGTCGTTATGAGTCAGAATTGACTTGATGGCAGTGAGTTTGGTTTGGTTTGGAATAGAATGTTGTCTGGTGGCACAATGATTAAGGTATTTGGCTGCTAACCAAAAGGTCATTGGTTTGAACTCTCCAGCTGCTCAGTAGGAGAAAGATGAGGCAATCAGCTTCCCACAGCCTTGGAAACCCTATGGAGCAGTTCTGCTCTGTCCTATTGGGTCTCTTTGAGTCGGAATCGACTTGATGGCAGTGGGTGGGATAGAATCTTGTGGGAGGGCATTGAGGTACCAGTCAGGAACTCCAAAAAGGAAATGTTGTTGTTTGCCATCAAGTCGGCCCCGACTCATAGCGACCCCTCCTTGGGTTTCCGAGGCAGTATCACTACAGAAGTAGGATTGCCCAACCTTCCTTCCGAGGAGTGGCTGGTGGGTTTGAACCACCAGCCTTCTGGTGAGCAGTCAAGTGCCTTAGGCACTATGCTACCAGAGCTCCTTCCAAAAAGGAAATAGAACACATTATATACTATCTGAGAAGCTCTGGTAGCTAGGATGGTTGGTGGTAAAGGCCTCCTTTAAGGTGCTGACATTTGAGCTGAGGCCTGAGTGACAGAAGGAACTAGCTATGCTTAGATCCAAGGGAAGAACATTCCAGCAGAGAAAGCTTAAGAAAGACTAAATCTCTGATAGGGTTACCCAGGGAAGCATCACTTCAACCTCCTTGCCATGGAAGGCAGATAGTCAAGCACCAGCTACTTCCGTGTGTGTGATCCTGAGAAATATAGATTTTGGCATGCTTTGATACACTTCTTTGTGCTTCTACTGTGAAAACAGAACTTTTTATTAAAGTGACTAAGCATCAATAGAAGTTATTAGGCAATAAATATTTTAAGTAGAATACACAATTTCTAGCGAGATTCAGAGGAACAGTTTCTTAGCATAATGACTGGAACACAGCACGTTTCCACCAACATGGAACAAAGAAAATGGGTATAAAGCGTGCCCAAGTTCACACTCCTGATTCCTGGTCAAGTTGCCCTTTACTTAGAAAGGAATTTTATTGAGTAGATTGTATACTCACAAAGTTCAAAGTAAAAGGTACAACAGCAGTATATTCAGAGAAAGATATCCTTCCATTTAGCCCTTCTCCCAGCCCCCCTATCCTAGTTTCCTTCCTGGGGAGGGGTCCAATGTTATCAGTTTGTCTTTAAACCCATCCTGCTGAATGTTTTATTGTTTTGAGGCAGTGGAGAAAGAAGGAGTAAGGGTGCAGTGAGGAAGTGAGAGGAGTACCTGAGTGGTGCAAATGGTTAACTGTTAATGTGCTTGGTTGCTAATCCAAAGGCTGGTGGTTCGAGTCCATCTAGAGATGCCTCAGAATGAAGACCTGGTGACTTACTTCTGAAAAATAAACCACTGAAAGCCTTGCAGAGCACATTTCTGCTCTGACACACATGACGTCACCATGAGTCATATAGATTCAGTGGTAGCTGGTGGTGGTGATGGAGGAAACCGGAGGATCCAGCCACAGTGGGAAGGTGACAGAGGTGACTTTGTCAGGCCCTGTCTCCTGAAACTCTCCAGACTGATCAGAAGGAAGGAAATGCTTTTTACTTCCCCCAAGCCTGAAGCTTGGTTCTCCTTGTTTCAGAACAAAAGCCGGACCCTGGATGCATTTGCCGTTTTTCTTTTCCAACTTGCTTCAGGCTCAATCTGCCTCGTTTTATCAAAACCGCTTTCTGCCACAATCCAGGTTTACCAGCATATCAACATCTCTTCAAATAGAATGCAAAATATTAACCACTAAAAATAGTGAAATGGTTTATCCTCCCTCTGTTTCGCCTATTTATAATTTCAGCTGATCTCATCCCTTGGTGTATTTTTACTACCTTCTATATAAAGTAGAAGCATCTTTTGGGAGCTTGTGTGTGGATGGTCCCACTGAGCTGAATCCTGCCTAATGCTTCTTTTCCAGATCGCTTACTGGGAAGTATTTGATGGGTCCGTCATCAGAGAGTTGGAAGGTTCCCTGTCCGGGTCTATAAATGGCATGGATATCACCGTGGAAGGAGTGCACTTTGTTACAGGTCAGTCCTGAGATAAGAAAAGAATGCCAAGCTTGGCTTATTTAGATGGGGACATGGAAATTGCAGGTGGGAGGAAATTTGAAGAGACCACAAAACTGTCTAAAGGACAGCCTGGTTAGATTCAGGCTTGAACACTGCAGCCAATGTGGCTGGAAAAGAAAAACACAAAAGTTGTCCTTCGATGACAGGAAATGCTCGCACAGGAGCCTTAGGGACACAAATAACAGGTAAGCCTTATGTTGCTGGGCTTGGTTTTTTGGTGGTCATTGCCTTTTTTATTTCCTAATATGAGTCTCTTTATTTACTTTCATTGTGGAGTGATGTGATGCCTTCCCCCCAAATAAATGAATAAACAGTATTTCAAGAAGAGAAGTTATCACAAAACATGCCTGGTAGAACAATATCACGTTTCTTGCAGGCTCTTGGATCCTTCAGGATAATAACAAGTAAATGGTCCAAATGAATTAAAGTTTCACAAATATCTTAACTTAAAACAAGATACAAAACTAGACATAATGTTATCCCACTTAGATATACAGATGTATATTCATACCTGTACACTCACGGAAAGAAGTCTTGGCGGCACAACAGTTAAATGCTCAGCTGCTAACCACAAGCCTGATGGTTCGAACCCACCAAGCTATGAAGAAGAAACCACCTGGCTATCTCTCTAGTTAAGGTTACAACCTAGGAAGCCCTTGAGGTAGTTCTACTCTTTCATATAGGGTTACTATGAGTCACCATTGACTCAACGTCATATAACAACAACAGTTATCAACAAAAGACTGAGTCAAGATGTCATTAGTGAATCTTCTGGGTGGTGGGATTAAAGGGAATTTCATCTCTTGGTATTTTCCCCAAAATTTACTACAACAGGCACAGATTTTTATAATCAGGGGAAAGTGTTATAAATGTCAATTTTTTTTTTTTTTTTTTTCTTTAAGTTTGCACATGGAGAATATTTTAAAAAACAATCCAGTTACTTGAAACCAGGGCCGTTTCTCTCTATCCAGTCACTATTGCAGCACTGTCATATAACTCTTTATCTTTTTCAGGTGGAAATGACCATCTAGTCAAAGTCTGGGATTATAATGAAGGTGAAGTAACTCATGTTGGAGTGGGACACAGCGGCCACATCACTCGAATCCGGATCAGTCCAGGCAATCAATACATTGTCAGTGTGAGTGCCGATGGAGCCATTTTGAGATGGAAGTACCCCTATACCTCATGAGGCAGCTGGGACCACCTGGAGTCATGGCCTCCTACAGTTGAAGACTGAGCTTATGTAACTCCAAGACGGGTCTAGATTTCTCATGCCTGTGTTTTCGTTCTTTAGTCAAAATATTTTACATATACTTTTCTCCTTTCCTTTGTGGAGTGCATTTTACATTTCTAAATTTTATATTAAATTAAAATCTGCTCAAGAACAATTTATCCACACTGTAATTAAAACATTTTTTTTATTGTTAATAAATGCCAGTTGTTGGCTTCCTGTCATAATCTCTTTTCTGTGACTCTATGAACGTCACAGCCCTTCTTCTTGATGTGTCCTCAGATAGCATTACTGTTATCCTCCGAAATTAACGCCAGCTGAATTTATATTCTTAATCATCACATCAGTAGTCAGGCTGCATGGGGCAAGACGTGGGTTTGAATTTAGATCTTGGGTAGGTTTCTTAACTCTCTCAGCCTCAGTTTCCTTTTTTGTAAAGTGACAATAAATTCCTGCTCAAAAGGTTACTGTGAGAATTAAGTGATATAATGTATTGAAGCCACCACTTACCTGTCAGATTGTTGTAACTGTGATGGCTAGTACGTTGCTATAATCTTGGGAGCTATGCCACCAGTATTTCAAATACCAGCAGGGTCACCCGTGGTGGACAGGTTTCAGCAGAGCTTCCAGACTACTTCTAAAAATTAGCCAATGAAAAACCCTATAGATCACCTCATATTGTCTGAGACTTACTTCAGATATATCCTCAGAAGGGATTAATTGCTGGAGAAGGACATCATGTTTGGCAAAGTGGAGAGCAAACCAAGGCAAGGGAAACCCTCAATGAGATGGGCTGATCCAATGGCTACAACAGTGGATTTGAGGACACCTCGGAAGGAAGGTTGGGCAATCTACTTCTGTGGGGATACCACCTCGGAAACCCAAGGAGGGGTCGCTATGCGTCGGGTCCGACTCAATGGCAAACAACAACAACAACTACACAATGATCCTGAAGACTGTGCAGTGTTTCATTCTGTTATACATAAGATCACCATGAATCAGGAGCTAAACCAATGGTAACTAACAACAACAGCAATACAGTATTAAAGCATGGGTAGAATCCTTGGCACAGAGTAGAGAGTTGAACACAAATTATGTCGCGCTGTCAAAGAAATGTGTTTTGTTAGGAATCTTGGGGTGACTACCAATGGTGATATTTCAGAGATGCTTTATTGGGGATGGCTTTAAAATTGTTCTTCCATGCTTACCACCAAGGAGGGCAACAGATGGACTTTGTGCATTAATCATCTAAACTGCTTTTTCCAGAGAAGGTAAATGAGGGCATTTTCCAGAAACACTTAAGGCTCCACTCACAGTCTTTGGTTCTAAGAATATTCTTTGTCCTTTAGTACTTTTTTGCATCAGGTAAACTGCTGCTATTCTTTTTGAAACACCAAGAAGGATATTCAGTAAATGACCATCACTGACTAAAAAACAAGATTTCAGAGCGTTGATGTAATATCAGGTAGACTACATCCTGCTGATCTCTTTTTAAGGGAAAAAGTTATGAGAAATTCATTTTGCAAGACCTTGCCCGATTAATTATAAACCTGATAGTCATAGAATGGTGTGAGCAGAGGCCCCCAGGGCTACCCAGGGAATCGAGGGCGGGGCAAGGCCAAACTCATTCTGATTGGGCAACAACAACTCAGCAAGGATTTTGTGTTCAGGAGTGAGCAAGAGAGCGCGCAGAGGGCGCGCCTGAAAGCCGGAAAACTTCCTGGTAGGCAAATAGGAGGCTGTGGAAAGGGCCTGGGCCAGGACGTCCGCCAGGCCAGGCTCGAGTTCCGGTTTCGCGCTCACTAGGCGCTCAGCTCCCGCACCCAACGTTAAACCTTTGTGAGCCCGTTTCTCTACCAGTTAAAAAGAGGACGATCAAGCCCACTTGCAAGTTTTTATAACAATGACATGTAGTCTGTACTTTCAATAGCAAACCACAGCCACCCCGAGCCCCACGAGGTTCCCGGGTCTGTCAACCAGGAGGGCACAGCAGAACGAAGGTTCTACCTCTTTGTAGGGGCCCCCTACCGCAAGGAGGTGGCGCCAGCTGCCCGCACACACCTGAGTCTGCGGAGGAACCAGCCGTCCACAAATACGTTCTCCACCCTTTCCAGCTCGGGCGCGTTTCTCACAACGCCTGAGGCTGGCCTTTTCGGACTATCTTCCCTTTTTCTTTTCTTCATATTCACCTGGACTTCATTACAAGGAACCTACAAATAGCCTGGACTTTGGGATTTAGTAGGCGCTTTCAAGTTTATCATTCTTCTATGGTGGGGGAGGTTAAATCCAGGTCAGATGGCTTCTAAAATGTAAGTAGGGGTTGCGACCCCTACAGCAGCTATTCCCAACGCCATTATTCCTACTCAGGCCTTGGGGGTGGGGTTGCCCGGCACAGCCTCGGGGCTTGTCTTGTGGCCAGATTCCCGGGCGGGGCGGGGCGGCCCCGCCCTTCGCTCCGCCCCCGCCCGCTCCCAGACACCTGGTCTGCAGGTAGCCAGCGCCCAGGCGCTAGTCTCAGGCTGTAAGGGCCTCTGCCCAGCTTGTCCGCTTCGGGCCCGGGGCTCTGCGCGGGAAGCCGTGGCAGCCAGCAGAAGCTATGGACCCGGGCCAGGGAGCGGAACTGGCTGGCCCGGGGGATGCGACCGGAGAGGAACCGCCCGCGCCCCGGCCCCGCCGCCGCCGGTCGCTGCGCCGCCTGCTCAGCCGCTTCCTGGTGGCGCTGGGCAGCCGCGCCCGCCCAGGACACTCGCCGCCCCGGCCACGGTGCGGATCCTGCGATGGCGACGGCGAGGGGGGCTTTGCCCACGCCCTGGTCCCTGCTCCATCTGCGCCCGGGAGCCCCAGGGAGGAGCAGGCTCCCAGACCTCAACCCCAGCTTCCCGCCGGCGACGGGGCGCGGCCCCCAGGCGCGCAGGGGCTTAAGAATCACGGCAACACCTGTTTCATGAACGCCGTGGTGCAATGTCTCAGCAACACCGACCTGCTGGCCGAGTTCCTGGCGCTGGGTCGCTACCGGGCGGCGCCGGGCCACGCCGAGGTCACCGAGCAGCTGGCGGCGCTAGTGCGCGCGCTCTGGACGCGCGAATACACGCCCCAACTTTCCGCTGAGTTCAAGGTAGGCAGCGCGCTGCAGCAGACCCGTTCCTGCCCTTCTGGTTTCGCTTTTTGAAAAGTGCGCACTCAGGAAAGGATTTTCTTGGAGTCTTCTACATATAGCATGGACCGCCTTTGCCTTGCGTTAGTTTGCTGTTTTATCGCTTGGATATATTTTTTTTATGGATTAATTTCTCCCAAATATTTTGGCGGCAAGCAGGGTCGGGAGATCAGAGAGGGGGGGAATATGGCAGATTGCGTTTATTCAACAAATATATTTGTTGACGTGTCGAAGCCCTGTGGTGCAGACAGTGTCCTTTCTAATGCTAGGGATAGAGCTTCCAGTCTGGAAGGACGAGGTGAGTTGAGACCCTAATGATGAGAAAGACACAGCCAGGCCAGGATCGAGGAGTAATGCAGGCAGGAAAAACAATCAAACTCACTGCCGTCCAGTCGAGTCGACTCATAGCGACCGCAGCTTGGGTTTCCCAGGCGGTATCTCTACGGAAGTAGAATTCCCAGTCGTCTTTCCTAGAAGTGACTGATGGGTTTGAACCGCCAGCCTTTGGGTTAGTAGTCAAATGCCTTAGGCACTGCGCCACTAGAGGCCCGGAAAGCGAAGGCGGGAAAGAAAACTCGTGTCGTTGGAGCTGAGGGGGGATAGATGAGGTTGGCTGGAGCAAGTACTGTCTTGGATGCGATGGTAAGGAGTTCAGATTTTATTCTAATCCCGGTGGAAGCTGAGAACCCACTGTTAGCCACGCAGTTAGACTGATTCCCCAGGAGAGGCAGTGCTGCACCATTTTGGAGATGGCATCCTTTGATCTAATGGCCCTGCTGTGTGTGACATGGGGTTGCATTCAGCGTCCACAGGACCAGTCTACCTCCTGGGGATGCTGCAGGGCAGGAGGCTTTGTAAATTGTCATTTCACCAGCGGTTGAAGCACAGTGTGTGGGACCCGGTTGGATGGATGCACATGGCTGACTTCCTGCTGGAAAACCCCAACCTGGGCAGATGGCAGAAGCTACCTGCAAACCAGTGTTTGTTGCTCTTTGGTGGAGGTAGGAACCCGCCAGTGTTCATTCCACAAGCATCAGGACTCCCGAGTTTCAGCCTAAGAAAGCAATCCCTGTGACCCCCAAAGAGGTCAACTCCCATCTTCCTCTTGCCTGTGTCCATTAGTGACGCACTGCCTTGGAGTAGTCAGTGGATAAAGTGAATGTCATGAATGTCTCTTTTTGATAACTTTTTTTTTTTTTTTTGGCATGAGAGACAGCATAGGTGTAGTGGTTATAGTTGGAATCCTAGAGAATACTTAGCTTTGTGATTTTGTTTTGAGCCAGTTACCAAATTTGGCAGAGCCTCAATTTTCCTCATCTGCACGATGGTATCATATGGTATCTACTTTATTGAGGTTGTTGTCAAGATTGAATAAGTTGTGTATGCACAGCATTTAGAACGGTGCCTGGCTCATAGGAAGTGTCTGTTATTGTCACTATTAATACACGTTCTCACCTGCAGAAACCTGGAGGTGGCAGGGAGGTATTCTTTGTGTAGTTTTTCTCTTGCCAGATGCCTTCCAATCCAGTCACTGCAGTGATGGGAGACTGGAGTAGCTTTAAAAACAATGTCCCAGATTAATACCCACAGTGGCTCACCAGGGTTCCCTTCTCCTCTCTTCTACTTCTGCCTTGAGGTCTGAGAACTTTGGGGAACTGAAGTGTAATTGAATAGTTAGTATGTTAATGACAGTGACCTAATCTGGAGCTTCCTGGGGTTTGGGGGTAGCTAGCCCTGGAGGATTTGAAAATCCTAGGTTTTAAACCTTTTGGATTGAAATCTCGTTGTCTTCCTCTTATCTCTACTCACAGCGACCCCTCCTTGGGTTTCCCAGGCAGGATCTCTACGGAAGTAGATTGCCCAGTCTTCCTTCTCAGGAGTGGCTGGTGGATTTGAACTGCCAGCCTTCTGGTTAGCAGTCAAATGCCTTAGTCACTATACCACCAGAGCTCCCATTTTATAGATGAGGAATCATTTCATTCAACAAATAGTTATTGATTGTTCAGACACTGTGCCAGGAATATGGAATATATAATGAATGATGAGTAGAATACCAGATCCTGGAATTTGCATTGTTTGGGATAGATGAATATTAATTAACCAACCACACAGGCACATGGTGACAAATGCTAGAAAGGAAAAATACATGGCTCTCTGGCTAGGGGGCCCAGTGAGTTGAGTTTTAAAGGATGGGTGATCAACTAAGAATATTTTGGAGAGGATGAGCAATGAGAATTAGTGAAAGCGTTTGGGGGACAGGTCATATAAGGTCTTATAGACTGTAATAAGGAGTTGGGTCTTTAAGGTAGATTGTTAGCTTCAAAAAAAGGAAGGAAGGAAGGAAACTTGAGATGGGGCCAGCATCCCGGAATGAGCTAAAGGATGGGTTTTTAGTGTTCTCCCTTCCTGAGTCCTGACTCAACCCAGCCTCCCGGGACGAGTAGCACCAGGTTTTTTTAAACAGCAAATTAATAACTATATAAAAGGCATCCTGTCCATGTTATTATCTCTAGTGCTTGGCTTTCCTAATGATGTAATTAATTAAATATGTGTACTGTAAGAATCAGAAAGTTCTAAAATGTGAAAAAAAGTTCTGTAATTCCATCCCCTAGAGATAACCATTATAAACATACAAATGTTAAAAGCATATGCAAACATCGGAAATTCTACTTTTTGTTCTGTTTTTTCATTCAAGTGTTATCTTGAGACTTTTCTACTGGTCATTGAAAATATCCTATAAAATTAATACTTGTGTAAGGTTTCACTAAATTATCACAATTAACTAATTTGCTACGGAGACATTTACAGTTTTCCAGCTATCACACTGCATTGAGTATCTTTGTATTGAGATCATTATCCTCCGCTCTAATTATGTTCATAAGCTTGATTCCTAGTGCATTAGAGCTTAAATTCTAAAGCGCTTGGAGCTGTGAAAGACTGTGGTCTGCAGTGGGAGCCCTAACGCCATTTTTGAGGCTTGACAAAAGTCTCGGGTGCCATTTGGGTTCTTTCTGACCATCACACCAGCATAGTAGCTGTGCACAGACAAATTCTAAGGCAAACCTAGGGAGGAGCAGTTTGCCTTCAGGAAGAGTAGGCTTGAAAGTAGGTTATGCTCACAGAAGGACGTAGGGAATTTGCCTCAGTGTGTCCTTTTCTAATTTAAATTAAGGTTGGGGTCTTGGTATTATTAATAGCCACCTTGTGGCTAGGACTCAGGCTTCGGTGTCCTGAGTCCCAGCCTATCTGGACCACCACCCAGCCACGTAGT